TTGTTTGTTTGTTTTCTCTGCCACCACACTTTATAACACCAGTGAACCCCACCCCAAACACCACCTTCTTGATACTTCTGTATATAAAGTTATGAATTTAATAGCTTCCTAAAAGTTAGAAGGAACAGAGCGTGGCATGCCCCAAATGGATGTCTATTTAATGGAGTACAGGGGCCACCACCCAGACTGCCTGATATCTTGTTGTCATCTTTTTCATCTTAATTTTTTTCCACCCTCAATGGTGTGGTTTGAGAGGAGCATGTATATGGTGAGATCTTTTCAAGGGGAGATGTTCTTAGAGAGGTCCTAAATCATTTCAAGGCTTTATAGGTCAGTACCAGGGCAAATCCTCCTCCTCATCATCTTGGCATTTCAGAGCTTTGAGGCACCGTGGATATCATCAGGACCAGCCCCTGTTAAAGAGGCCCAGTAGGGAATTGAACCCCTCACTTCTGGTTCCACAGCCGGAGAATTAAACCACAGAGCTAGATAGCATTTCTGTGAGGCCCCTACATTGTGCCAGAGGGCAAAAGGTGAAAGCAAGGATCACATGAGGCCATCCACAGTTGCAATTAATTTGAAGATTTATTTCAATCAAAGCAGGTAAGTAGGGGAAAAGATTCACAAAATGAAGCGCCAATATAAAAGAGGTCAAAGAAAAATCAATGAATTTCTAATTTACAAGACAATGCAGTGATGAAATGAAAAGTTCAAAGCAGAACCTGTATTAAAGTTTCAGACGAAATTATGATTATGCAACATCAGCCACAGTTAGCCCTTCTTAAAACACTATACAGTATTTACCCATAACCTTCAACCAGCCTCCAGTTGAAGCTCATTGGTGTTCCACCTCTTGGGCCTAAACAGTGAGAAAGGAAGACATATCGCTACCTATTCTAAGGATCAGATTCCTGCAGAGTTCTGTGTTGGTGGATGACAGGCTGGGAGAAAAAGCTGCATTGTACGACTTTTCTTTACTCCGAAAAAGTAAACCTTCCCCTTGTCCCATATCACATCCGGCCACACAGGAGCCACTCAAAGCATCCGACCATGTAGCCTGCCCACACTCTTCCATTGTCTTCCAGTTCAGGCAGAGTCTTGTTGCCACAACAATAATCTCTCTCCCCTTTCTGCTCAAGCCATGAAGCAAACTCCAGGCTGGGAGGAATCCTCAGCCACTTTTGCCTAAAGGAAACAGTCAACCGTGCCCTTCATGGAAACAAACCAAAGATCTCCTGACTGCCATTCTATAGGCAGACCATTCTGTAGGCCATATGTATTTTGCCCAGTGCACATTATATCTAAAAATTGGTCCTGATTAAGAAGCAGCACCTTGAATTGGGTGCAAAAACTGCCAGGGAGCCCA